CGTACCTTCCTCTTACATTTATGGTTGTTGCTGTTGTTCTACAGCCACTATCACAGTGGTGGCTTCTCTTTGAATTAAGGTTTGTGAAGGAGACAACACTCCTTTACTTGTTTGGTTACTAGTGTAATGTCTGCAATTTAAAAGGCAAAAGAAAAAAATAAAAGAAAAGAAAAAAAAAATGTTTGGGACCCACAAGTTTAAGTTGTCATAAGACCACACTTTTTTTTCCTTTTTTTTTTGTTCTCTGTCTTCTGTCTCGCAGCTCTCTGCCCGCTTGCTTTTCTTTTTTCTTTTTCTTTTTCTTTTTCTTCTACACAATTAAGCTTGATTTCTCCCTCATTTCTTGGCGGATTTAGGTGCCGTTTGAGGCAAAACGAAGCCCACGACGAGCTCTACGCATCCATACTAACAATTTTAGTTTTGGTGCTCATTTGTGCATTCGAGTTTAGAGACCCAATTTCAAGGGTTTTGTTCAATTTAGAGGTGGGGGCTCTTAATCCATGTTTTTCTTGCTCCATTGTGAATTATATCTCTCTTGTTGTGACAAGCATGTTTAATTTGGAAGTTAATTGTTTCAATGATTATATAAATGATGTTTAGGAAAATTCATGATTATGAATATGAGTAGAAAAGCATGCTTAGAGGTTGTCTTGTTGTGTTTAATGTTTTGATAATTCATTTGGAGATGTTGAACATGATGTATGCTTAATTTTGTGGTGTAAAATTTTGTGTTGTCTTGTCGTGTTTTATGTGTTGATAATTCATTTAGAGATGTTAAATATGATGTATGCTTAATTATGTGGTGTAAAATTATAAATGCCATAATATTGCAAGCATGGGATATATATATACATGTATATACCATTGGGTTTGCATGAAATGGGAGAAATTGTTCTTGAAATAAATATGGAGAATTTCAGGGAAGTGTTTTTGCTGAAATGGTTTTATGCGAAACCCGGTCGTTGCAGGGTTACCAACGAGCCAGAGGTTAATATAGCCTAGAGGGGACTAGGGAGTCGCCCTAGCGTGGTTGAGCTAGCTGGGCCCCATAATGACGCCGCGGGGTTACCAAGGGTCAAGGACACTAGCCAATCCTCCTCTCGTGTCGTGGCGGGGCTACCAAAGGGCGGGCTGTATTAACGGTTTGGAAATGATGTTTGGATTATGAAAATAGGGAGCGACATCGGCATGCATTTGCATTCCATGGCATTGCATTGTTTGCACTTGAGTTTGGTTGAAATGTTGTATTATCCCGACACTGTATGATCCCCATTCCTATTGATCTATTCTTTGTATGGATTCACAAGGACACAAGATGCGTGTCTTAAGTGCTACCTACTGAGCTTTATGCTCACCTTATTATTTAATAATTTTTTTCAGGAAACGGGAAAGAAATGGCGGATGACTTTCCACCACAGGCCTAATCTGAATTAGAAGACTTCTTTTGCTATTTTTGTATTAAGTCCCATATTTTTGTAAAATCTTAGTTTGTTATATTTGGTATAGAGATTCGTGAACTCTTGTTATTGTAACTATATTTTGGGACTGTAATTATGATAATTTGGATTAAACGGTATGTAGATGTTCCACCATGAGATGAGCCACGTTGAGGTATAATGAACGGATGAATGGGATGCTGGAGTATATTTTTTTTGTTTTGTGTATTGGGACAGGTTGTTGAAGGACCACTTTTAGGGGAGGTCATGCCGAAATTTTTGTATAAATGGTTTTAGTTTAGGGTCGTTACAACTAGTTTGGGCTATCCCAAACTTATTTTGTCCTGATATCTGACTATTGTTTTGTTGGGAAAATAAAATTTAAGTTGGTGAATTGGCACGTAAATGTCTGCCGCCAATATTTATATATATATGTTAAGTTCTTTGGTATTGTTATGTGGATCTTCACAGATCTATTTCTCTCTTGTCAAATCCTAGATGGTCTTATAATCCCATCTAGAATTTGAGGGTGAGTATTGATAATATGTTCTATTCACCGGTGTTGTTCCAGCCTATTTTTCCCAGCTTAGTTCCGGTCATTTCCCAACGTTGTTTCGGCCATTTCCCAGCATAGTTCCAGCCCATTTCCTGGCTAGTTTTGGTTATTTCCCAGCGTAGTTCCGGTCAATTCCTGGCATAGTTCTAGTCCAGTTTCCCGCAAGATTCAGTCAATTTCCTGGCTTTGTTCTGGACACCTTCCCATGATCTTTCGAGGCGTTTCTTTGGCAAGTTGGGCATTCATGATATTCATGCTCTAACTTGAGGGTGAGTATTGAAATATAAAATTTTCTATATAACGGTGGAGCAAAATCCTCCACCAATCACGATGCCTCCTTTAACTATTGTACACTTTTCATATTCTATTATCTTTACCATGCCCATATATAAGCTCTTTGTACTCAAGCAAGATATACATTTGAAAACCCCAAGGGGTTGGCCTAGTGGTAAAATCACCTAGGCTTGGGTGCTTACTAGCACCAAGGTGTGGGGTTCGATTCCTACAAGGAGCTTACGACAACCTGGGGCCACGCCTCCGCTGCTATACTCAGCAACCTACCCGGCCCGGGGTGGGGAGGCGCCCTTCCTGGGTCCTCGGGGATTAGTTGGGGCGAAGCCTCGGATACCCCAGGTTATCCAAAAATAAGAGATATACATTTGAATAATAGAAATGTAGCCCTTAGTGGCTCTTTGTTCATGGATGTAGGCCTTAGTGCCGAACCATGTAAATCTCTTTATTTTCCATCTTCCGATTATTCTTGATTTACATTATGTATTTGCACATCCAAATTTAACATGGTATCAGAGCGTCGATCCTAGATCGATCATCACGTAGAAGCATACATGTGTTGTCTTCTCTGTTAATCATTTTGGGTCTCTTCCATTTTTTTTCTTTCCTTTACTAATCACATAGAGCAATGAAGAAGACCAGTATCTACTTCGCCGGCGATCTATTCCCCTCAGTGGTTCTGTCCATTTTGCTCGCCTCAATTTTTTACAAAAATTTTGGCTTCCGGACGTGCGCACACGCGCCGTTAGGAACATCCACGCTCTGTCCACTTGCAGGCCACCTGCAAATCGCGTGCAGTGCATGCGCCTCACGCTGCAATGTCGTCTTCTACCTCCAGATCGCGTCCCATTCACACGCTTGCTACGCACATTCACAGTGTGCTTCATCGCTTTTACGCGGTATTCAACCCATCGTCATCTTCCCAGACGCGATACTCTCTGCTATCGTCGTCGTTCACGTGCGCTCACGCGCCGGGCTTGTTAAGGTCTTTGGCGCGTTTTTAGACCTGCTATCAAATCTGTATTCAGTTTCTCTTACGCACCACCCAATTAAAACCACTTTAGTTCCGACAACCATCACCACGCGCTTCCGCCACAAGCGCTCCTTTGCTCCGCTTCCGTAATCCTCATGCTCTGGCCCATTTTCATGGCTTAGTTTTTGCCATTTCCCGGCTTAGTTCCGGTTATTTTCCGACTTAGTTCCGGTTATTTTCCGACGTTGTTCCGACCATTTCCCGGCATATTTCCAGCCCATTTCCTGGTGAGTTCCAGCTATTTCCCGGCATAGTTCCGGTCAATTCCTGGTATAGATCCGACCACGACATAGTTCTAGTCCAATTTCCCCGGCGAGTTCCGGTCATTTCTTCCCGACGAGTTCCGATTTATTTTCCCCGGCAAGATCCGGTCATTTTCCTATGGAAGGTCCGGTAAATTTCCTAGCTTTGTTCCGAACACCTTCCCATCATCTTTCGAGGCATTTATTTGGCACATTGGGCATTCATGATATTCATGCTCCAATTTGAGGGGGAGTATTGAAATATAAATGTTTTTATACAACGGTGGAACAAAATCCTCCACCAATCACGGTGCTTCTTTTGACTATTGTACACCTTCCATATTCTCTTATCTTTACCATGCCTTTATTTAGGTTCTTTGTACTCAAACAAGATATACATCTGAATGATAGAAATGTAGCCCTTAGTGGCTATTTGTCCATGGTTGTAGGCGTCAGTGTTGAACCATGTAAATCTCCGTGTTTTCCATCTTCCGCTTATTCTTAATTTATATTTTATATTTGCACATCCAAATGAGATTATTTATCAATGATAACATTTAGGATATAAGTATTTTGTTTCTGCATGTTCTTCATTAAAGATCCTCCTGTTTGGGTGGGTAACCCAAAAGGACCCAAGTATTGTCTTGGGTAGTTTTAACAGGCCTTATGCATCAGGTAATGGTGCCTTTGGCCTATAAATTGTTGTAATAGTGCCTATGATTTATGAAACTAACCAACCTAAGTGAGAAATAATGTGGCATATGTGGAACATTTTCTGTCATAGTAAATGTCTCTATGGTGTTCCTCCAAATGTGATCAAAATCCTTTTGATCATTTAAGAGGCTTGAAGTTGGCTTGTGTTATGTTGGTTTGGCTTCTTCTTTCAGCCTCAGCCTATCCTCTACAGTTGTGTGAGGTTTTTTCTTTTTTAAAAAAGAAATCACATTTCAGTTTGGAAATGTTATTAAGAAACTTTTAATAACTCAACAATTTTCAAATACCCTCAAAAATTATTTAATATTGTCTCCTTTTTAAAACTTTATTTTCAGAAAATGGTTTTTAGAAAATAATAAATCAAATAAATGTCCGTACATTTTTTATTTTTCAAAATAGAATGTCAAAAAAAAAAAAAAAAATCTGAGCCAGAATAGGCCTAACCTCCAGAATTTAACAGTTGATTAAATGCATCGTATATCTTGAAAGGGAGAAAAAGAAAACATGAATTGACCCACACTTATATTGATTCCCTTCTTTGATGGTATTGAATTGTCCCTCTTAGTGGTTGCCATGGTCACAAATTTACTTGTCTAAAACTTTTATCCCTTCACTGTCTTATCCCTTCACTTTTGGTGCAGAAAGACTGTATATGGCTTGACCCCAAGTCAAGGATATATTATCAATAATTCTAAGTCAAGTCTCCTCCAATAACTATGAGACTACAAAGGAAGAATTATCTATGGGTTGATCCAAGTCAAGTCTCCTCGAATTATTAAAGTAGATTTCAAGTCAATGTCTTCAATGTTTAAGCCAATGCCATCTCATGTTTACTGCTTCTGTAAAGATAGGGAGCTTGCCATTTGATAGGCCTGGATAAAAAACATATATGCAAATTAAAGAGGCCAGGCCATATATTTATAGCAGCTGTAGGTCGTGTACTGATTCACTAATGGAGTACTTAGAGCGAGTATTGAGGTTATTATTATTGTTGATGTCGGTTTTGGCGAATGGGTGTTATGGGTGTTGGGAGCAAGAGAGAACCGCTCTTTTGCAGCTCAAAGCTTCTATCAACCATCCAAATGGCTCTTCCTTGCCATCATAGGAGGGTGAAGGAACAATCGATTGCTGTGAATGGGAACGTGTTGAGTGCAATGCTACCACACGTCGTGTCATCAAACTTTGAGTGCAATGCTACCACACGTCGTGTCATCAAACTTTCACTTAATTCTACAAGGGAGGATGGGCTCGGAGATTGGTATTTAAACACTTCAGTGTTTCTTCCCTTCGAATCGCTCTTAAGTCTAGATTTAGTTCACAATCATTTACTTTGTATTAAGAACGAAGGTATGTCTAGATTCTCTCTGAAGGATTGCTTGCAGGGATTGTTTCCTTTTCTTCTCTTTTTTTCCATTTCCATTTCCTTTTTCTTTTCCTTTTTTTATTTTTATTATTTGAGAACAAAATTCTGTTATTGTTGAGATGCCAAATTACTTTTTATTCCCTTGCAGGTTTTGAAAAGTTATCAAGGTTGAACAATCTACAAATCCTTGATTTAAGTGAAAATTACTTTGATAACAACATCCTGGCATCTTTAAATGGACTTTCATCCCTCAAGACTCTAAAACTACGCCAAAACTACTTGGTTGGGCTACTTTATTTTCAAGGTAGATTTAATGTAAATTTCTTTTCAATCTTAATTATAAGGGACAACCCACCTCATGTTTCCTTGGTGATCAGTTTATTGTGATTCGTGTACTTCAAATCTCTAACTTTTCATTCCCTGTTTAGACTTTGTTGGTTTGAACAATTTGAAGGAGCTGGACATAAGTAGGAACCAGTTTGATAGTATTGTAACCAGAGAAGGTATGAAAAAGGAAACAAAGGATTACTACGTTATCCTCCATAATTAGTTTTTGTTTGGGTCTTTGGTATGATAGCGCATTATTATATGTACATAAAATAATCAAAGAAAAGAAAAGGAAAAAGTTTTGCATGAAGGGACTTCAATAAAAAAAAAGTACTTATATATTGAAGTATCAAGACAAAATTAAGATGCTTCAAATGATCACCTTTACAACAATATTTATATTTCATGTTTTTCTGCTTGTCACCAAAGAAAATAAAAAGGAATATTATGAAATGGAGTGATGATTGGCTCTGAGATTTGAAGAGTAACTCATTTCTCTATGAGATATATATATATATTTGATAAAAAAAAGTTATATTTATTAAGATTAAAATGTAAGTTCTTGTTGAAAAAATAAATAAATAAATAAATAAAATGAAGTACTTACTCCAAAAATCCTAAACAAGTTATACAGAGTTAGCTGACCTCTTTACAGAAGAAAAGTGACATGCTCTGAATCCCAATAGTCCCCTTTTAATCCATGATGATTCACACACTAAGGCACCTCTTCACTGCTTCTAACATCATTAACAATTAATGAAGAATTTAAATATTTAAGTTACATCCTCTCTAACAGTTTCAGCTTAAGCTTTTAGATTAGATGATTGTTTACATGGTATCAGAGTCATAAGGTTTCGAGTTCAAATATCACCGTCATCCTAATAATTAAAATTGAAACACGTGTTGGACCGAAAGAAGACAACACGTGAGGGAACATGTTGAAGGATTTAAATATTTAAGTTAGACCCTGTCTAACCGCTTAAGCTTAAGCTTTTAGAATAGATGATTGTTAACAACAATAATTTACAGGGATGTATTGAGAATGACAATTTGCCTAGCTTCTCACTTCATGTATTTATTTAAAGGATTGCTTTAAGGATTGTTTCCTCGGTTTTTTCATTTTCTTTTCCTTTTACTTTTTTTGTTTTGTTTTTGTTTTTTAAAACAAAATTCTGTTAGTGTTGAGATGCCAAATTACTTTTTATTCCCTTGCAGGTTTTGGGAAACTATCAATGTTGAGCAATCTACAAATCCTTCATTTGAGTTATAATAACTTCAATAACAACAGCATCTTGTCATCTCTAAATGGATTTTCATCCCTCAGGACTCTAAAACTACAGTCAAATGACTTGACTAGGCTAGTTTATATTCAAGGTGAATTTATTAATCTAAAATTTCTTTCTGATCTTAGCTGTAAGTTTCCTTGATGATCAGTTTATTTTGATTATTGAACTTTAATTCTCTATTTTTTCATTCTTTGTCTAGACTTTGATGGTTTGAACAGCTTAAAGGAGCTAGACATAAGTTCGAACAGCCTTGATGGTATCGTAATGAGAGAAGGTATGAAGAAGAAACACGGTATTAGACACTGCTTTATGTCAATTAACCTATTGAATTAAGTACCATATTATCCTCCGTCATGAATTTGTTGGGTCTTTGATATGATCACACACTGTTTTAGGTACAAGAAAAAATAAAATAATATAAAAACTGAAACTTCTATTGCATGAAGGGACTTCTACCAAAAAGTAGTTTGTGAATTGAAGTATCAAGAAACCGCAAGGGGTTGGCTCAAGTGGGTAAGTCAATTGGTCCTAGTGCTTCATGAAGCACTAGGTCTAAGGTTTGACTCCTCTTAGGTGCAAATAATTCCTTGGAACGTGTGAGTATCCACTAGGAAAAAAATTGAAGCATCACCTTCAAACCACTATTCATATTTGATGTTTGCCTTCTTGTCTCCTACAAAGAATAACCCGTATAATATGTATATATATATATATACACACACATTGTGATAATCAAAATTATTTTTATTAAGGACAAAATGGAAATACTCACTCCATAAATCCTCAACTAAATTGGAACACGGGCAAGAGAAAAAGCAACAGAAGCAGAGTTAGCTGACCTCTTTACACACACACACAAAATGTAACTTACTCTGAATCCGAATAGTGGCCTCTTAATCCAAGATGATCCACACTAAGGCACCTCTTAATTTCTTCTGACAGCATTAACATATAGTAGAAATAGTCTCCTTTCCAAACAATCTCAAATAAACCAATATATTAGGGGTACAATAGAGCAAGATAAGCTGCACTGGCCTCTAAAATAATCTAGCACCAATAAATGATTTTTTTCCTACAAAGGGTTCCATATAAGTTCTAACTTGCATTATCATTTGCTAATTTTACAGGTTTAGAGAGACCTCCAAGTTTGAACAGCTTAGAGGTCCTTGATTTGAGCTATAATCACTTCAACAATGGCATATGGTCATTTCTGCAAGGACTTCCATCACTCAAGACACTCTATATAAAGGAATATGGAATGTAACAATTCCCAGTATAGGTAAGCCCATAATTTCAGAATTTGCACGACTTGGACAATCCAATGATAATGAGGGAACAAACTCACTGAGGATGTCCTCATCACAACATTTTCTTTTGTTTAGAACTTGAGATATTTGAGTTTCTTTCACTCCAATGCGTCTTCTTATTGTAATGTTTATATATATATATATATTAAAGTTAAAAGTTTTTCTTCAAAAGTTGGTGGGCTCCACCAATAAATTAAAACATAACAAAGGAGGCCATTTCGCATATCATTAGCTTCTCTATCCTTTCTGCTGCATCATTCTCACCTCGGCAATTTCTTCTTTTTTTTTTCTTTTTACAAGTTCAAGACTTGATCTAGCTTCACTCAATTAGAATTTGATAGAACCATGTGAAGCAAAGTCGGAGAGCACGGCGAGATCTACGCGTAGGTACCAGCAATTTCAACTTTAGTGCTCTCTAAGGAGTTAGAAATTCTAGGGTTCTTGGGATCAAATTGGGGGTTTTCATCAATTTAAGGTAGGGGTACTCTAATCCACTAATTCTTGGATTTCTTGTGAATTTCCCCTTTAAATTGACTTTAAGCATGATTAATTTTAATTTTTTGTGATTATATTTGTTAGGGTTATTTATGTTGATGGTGATAAATGTGCGCTGTGTGTTAAATGGCTTATTAGTATGATAATTTTTAACTTGTAAAGAAGTACGCTTAGTGTTGGTTTGTTTTCATGATCTCAATTGCTATAAAAAATAAAAATAAAAAAAATAAAAATTATGGTACAATTATGGAAATAAATTTGTGAATTGTATATTTAAATTGCTATCAAAATGTGGGATGAGAAAATGAATTGTGTACTTTTAATAATTTATTAATTTATTTGAACAAGTATGTGGGAGCATTATAGTGAAATTGATGAAATGAAGCATGGAGCATTCATGCATCCATTGGGAAAGAAATAAGGGGAAAAATGTTTTAAAATAAATGAATTGTTCTTGGAAAAAAATATTTTTTAAAGGAGTTTGCGAAAAATAAGACGCCTAGGAGGCCCCTAGTGGTCCGTGTTGTTAGTGTAGTCTATAATGGAGTATGGTTGAGCTAACTAGGCCGGATGCGACGCCTTGGAGGTGCCTTGTGGTTGTGGATAGTTAGCTAACCCTCCATTCGTGACGCCTTGGAGGTGCCTTGGGTCGGATTACACCAACGGTTTGTTTGTTGAAATGGAATTGTTTCGGAAATGGAGAACGACATATGCATAACATTGCACTTCATGTCATTTTAGTAAAACGGTGATTGGTTGACATTTGCTACATATTTATTGTTGTGGTTGAGAATATGTATTCCTCATGGTATGACTCCATTTCTTTTTACCTCTTCCTTATGTGAATTCACGGGGTCATAAGAAGTGTGTCTTAGACACTTCCTACTGAGCTTATGCTCACCCCATTATTTTCAACATCTTTCAGGACATGGAAAAAAGGTGGCGGACGACGATCCACCACGATTTTAGACGAGCACGGAGACCTATTTTATTTTTGCTATCTTTTGTATTAAAAATCTGTAATATTTTATAAATGTAATATTAACTAACTCATAAAACTTTAGTTTAATTAGTATAATGTTGTAAGTTATGGACTTTTAATTCTAGCTACATTTTATGGACTGTAATTTGATGTAAATTAAGTGGGTTCCACGTTCGGATGAGATGGAGGAACGAGATTTTTGTATGTATGTAGTCATTTTAAAAATGTGATATAATATCTGTATTGTGCGTTGGGACAGGATATGTTATTTTTGAGGCCCAGTGAGGCTATTGCATCTATTTATGTAATTCAACAGGTTGTAGATGAACTTTTTCTGCGGAGGTCATACCGAAATTTTTATAGATTTTATTATTATTATTTTGGTATCTTTTCGGGTCATTACAAATTTGGTATTAGAGCGATGGTTCGAATACCATTAGGACGAAGGGTAGAGGCCTACCTAGGATTGCATGGGGAGTTGACTTATTTGCTTACTTGCTTAATTGCTTACGTGATTGCATGCTTATATGCCTGTGTTAAGGTACTTAATTATTTGAAAGGCACACTTAATTGTTAATTGCTTAGATGAGTACATGCTAAGTGCTTAGTATTGTTACATATTATTAGCATGATCATTTTTCTCATTAGTTGGGTATTCTGGGAGCAAGGAAGGTGTTTATGTGTTTCCATTTTTGTCAAGTCATTTATATGAGGATTCCGTTCTCGTGCATATTTTAGTGTCATCGTTATTGATCCGTTTCCTTTTTTTTTATAGCGTCATGGCAACACGAAGGGATCCCGGGGAAAAGTTCTAGCTCCAATCCCGTGGAAATGGATCAGGAGCAAGTTGAGGAAGATATCTTATTGCGTGATTTGGTCCCACTAAGAGAGGGACAAGCGAGGGGGACCGTTGACCCACCTTTTCAGATAAATAGGGAGCAGTTGAGGTTAGCCGTTCAGGAGGCTATTTTTAATGCATATCGACCGACAGGTGCGTCATCGACACAGTTTGTGCCACCACCGGCACCACCACCACCTCCAAAGAAAAATGAGTTAGATGATACTCTTTACCACATTGCAAAATTTGTGAAGTTGATGCCAACTCTGTTTGAGGGTGGTCCAGATCCGCTTGTTGTGGATAGTTTCATGGATAGGGTGGAGAAGCATATTAATGCCATGAATTTGGCAACGGACAAGTTGAAGATTACAGTGGCTACTTACAATTTTGTGGGCGATGCTGAGATTTGGTGGAAGACCGTTTCTCACACCCATAATCTGGATACTATGACATATGCTACTTTTAAGAAGTTGTACTATGAGAAGTACTTTCCGGGGCCTAAGCGGAGGGAACTAAAGAAGGAGTTTGATGAGTTGAAGCAAGGAAGCATGACAGTTACAGAGTATGAGAATAAGTTTACATCGCTTTTGAGGTTTGCACCGGGGATTACTAATGATGAGGAAGGAAAGATAGAGAAGTTTGTTGATGGTCTTAATCCCACCATCAGGCCAATTGTAGCTACCTCAGAACCGACAGAGTATGCAAAAGCAGTGCGAAAGGCCTTAGTAGTTGAGGCTGAAAGCAGGGACAGTAAGGCTATCAGGGAATCCTACAAGCACAACAGGGGTATGAGTGCTTTCTCCGAGGGTCAATCAAGTAAGAAGCAGAAGCATGAGCAATCAGGGTTCGAAGGACAGCAGCCAGTCAGATCCGCCCCCACAGCTTCAGTGTCCATGGGGTCTACTACACCGAATGTTACTTGTTTTAGATGCGGACAGCTGGGACATTACAAATCCCAATGCACTCAGACACAGGTAGCTCAAATGATTTGTTTCAAGTGTGGGCAGCCAGGGCATCACAAGTCTCAGTATACTCAGATTCAGGTGGCATCTGGTGGATATTTCGGGTGTGGCCAGCAGGGCCATAGGGTGAAAGATTGTCCACAGCGGGGCAGTGGTTTGGGCAGAGGTGGAGGTTCACAGTAGAGGCAAATGCAGTCTGCCACAGTTCAGTCAGGGTTTCGACCACCACCACCACCTCAGCCGTTTCAGCCAGCTATGTCAGCCCAGAGTTCTCGACCTGGTAGGGGAGCTTCTTCGAGTGCACCCATTCAACAGTCTGACTATCAGGCAGGCAGTTCTCAGGGGCAGAGGACCCAGGGTCGCATGTTTGCACTCACTCCAGCCGAGTCACCATCCAGTCCTTCAGTTGTCAGGAGTATGTTTCTTGTGTCCCATTCTTGGGCTCGTGTATTGTTTGATTCCGGTGCTTGTGCTTCTTATTCATTCATTGCTTTATCATTTGCACGGGCATTGGGTTTGGAGGTCAGTCAGTTAGACGGACTGTTTTGTGTTGACACGCCTATCGGGGGTTCAGTTGTTCTTAGTAGAGTTTGTAGGAGTTGTTCCATCACAATTGCCGGACGTGTTCTTGAGTTCGATTTCATCCTTCTCAAGATGACAGGATTTGACGTCATTCTTGGGGTGGACCGGTTATCGTCCTTCAGAGCTGTTATTGATTGTTTCAGGAGCAGAGTTTCAATGTGTACCCCGGATGGGGATTGTTTCTATTTTGTGGGAGATCGGTGTGATCCTCTCACTCATTCATTCTATGGTGTTAGGGGTCAGGATCGGCAAACGTTCTTCTTGGCTAGCCTTTTCGCCGATGATGACGTTGAGTTTTATGGGGTTGATTATCCAGTGGTTGTGCGTGATTTTCTGGATGTGTTTCCGAAGGACTTGACTGAGTTGCCTCTACACCGAGAGGTGGAATTTGCTATTGATTCTATGCCTGGTACTGCGCCAATCTCTATGGCACCGTATCGTATGGCACCGATTGAATTAGAAGAATTGAAGAAGCAACTTGATGATTTGAGGATGAAAGACTTTATCCGGCCGAGTGTGTCACCGTGGGGTGCACCGGTCTTGTTCGCTAAAAAGAAAGATGGTTCTTTGAGGTTGTACATTGATTACCGAAAGTTGAATCATGCCACCATCAAGAACAAATATCCTTTGCCAAGGATAGATGATTTATTTGATCAGTTGAAGGGAGCCAGTTGTTTTTCGAAGATTGACTTGAGGTCAGGTTATTATCAGTTGCGGGTTAGAGAGGAGGATATTCCAAAAACTGTTTTTCGTACGCGGTATGGACACTATGAGTTTCTTGTTATGCCTTTTGGTTTAACTAATGTGCCGGCAGCATTCATGGATTTAATGAACCGTATCTTCCACGATTACTTGGATCAGTTTGTGGTAGTTTTCGTGGATGATATTCTTATGTATTCACGGACTCGGGAGGAGTACGAGGTCCATTTGAGTATAGTGTTGCAGTTTCTACAGGAGCACCGTTTGTACACCAAGTATGAAAAGTGTGAGTTTTGGCTACAAGAGGTGAAATTTTTGGGACGTGTTGTCTCGGAAGGTGGGGTTTCAGTTGATCCTTTAAAAATAGAGGAAGTTTTGAGTTGGGAGCAACCCAAGAATGTCTTTGAAATCCGGAGTTTCCTTGGCCTAGCAGGTTATTGTCGGAGATTTGTGAAGGATTTTTTCCGTTTGGCAGCTCCTATGACCAGATTGACCAGGAAAGGGATCAAGTTTGCATGGAATGAGGCCTGTGAGTCATCCTTTCAAGAGTTTAAAACAAGGTTGACTACGGCTCCGGTGTTGGTGATACCTAAACGTGGCTTGGGTTATGTGATCTATTGTGACGCCTCACGTGATGGTTTGGGTTGTGTACTGATGTAAGATGATAGAGTAGTGGCTTATGGGTCTCGACAGTTGAAGACTCACGAGCTTAATTACCCTACTCATGATTTAGAGTTAGCGGCAGTTGTATTTGCTTTGAAGTGTTGAAGACACTATTTGTATGGTGAGAGATTTGAGGTGTCCTCGGACCACAAGAGTCTCAAGTACCTTTTCTCCCAAAAGGACTTGAACAATAGATAGAGGCGATGGGTTGAATTCTTAGAAGACTACAACTTTGATTTGCAGTATCATCCTGGCAAGGCAAATGTGGTAGCTGATGCTTTAAGCCGGAAATCTCGTGGGACTTTGGCTAATTTAGCCATTCAGAAATGGAAGATGTTGGAAGATTTGGCTGAAATGGGATTATATTGCTTTGATGATGATGATGATGATAGCAGTGAGTCAACATTCTTGTTTAGTCTCGTGGCTCAACCCACTCTTGTTAGACGGGTGATTGAGTCACAGAGACATGATTCAGATTTGGATATCATTTACACTCTAATTTCCAGTGGCGAGACCGTGAAGGATTGGACCTTACATGCAGATGGAGGTCTACGGTTTAGGAGTTTGTTGGTTGTTCCCACAGTTTGTCGTGAGGACGTCTTACGGGAGTTTCACACTTCCCGCTTTGCAGTTCATCCGGGTGGTACCAAAATGTATTACAATTTGAGACGTCAGTATTGGTGGAATGGAATGAAGAAGGATGTTGCACAGTTTGTAGCTAAGTGTCTTACCTGTCAGCAGGTGAAGGCCGAGCACCAGAGACCAGCTGGTTTATTGCAGCCATTGCCGATAGCGCAGTGGAAATGGGAGGAGATAGCAATGGATTTTGTGACAAGTCTTCCTAGGTCACGGAGGGGAAATGAAGCCGTATGGGTCATTATCGATAGATTGACCAAGATGGCTCATTTTTTGCCTATTAAAGCAACAGATGACGCAGAGGCACTCGGTGTACTTTATGTGAAAGAAATTGTGAGATTGCATGGAGTTCTAGTGGTTATTGTGTCGGATAGGGATGCTAAGTTCACCTCGAAGTTCTGGAAAGGACTTCAAGCAGCATTTGGCTCATTGTTGCACCTTAGTACTGCATTCCATCCACAAACGGATGGCCAGTCGGAGCGTACCATCCAAATCTTGGAGGATATGCTTCGAGCTTGTGTACTTGACTTGGGTGGTAGTTGGGAGGATCACCTTCCACTTATTGAGTTTGCCTACAACAACAGTTATCAGACGAGTATTCAGATGGCTCCATTTGAAGCGTTGTATGGTAGACCTTATAGGTCTCCTGTCTGTTGGACTGAGGTGGGCGAGACAGCCGCCTTAGGACCCGACATTGTACTCGAGACTACCGAGAAGATTAAACTGATCAGACAAAGATTGCTTACAGCTCAGAGTCGACAGAAGAGTTATGCAGATAGGCGGAGACGACCGCTATCCTTTGAGGTGGAAGACCACGTTTTTCTTCAGGTTTCTCCAAGGAAGGGGTTGATAAGGTTCGGAAAGAGTGGCAAGTTGTCGCCACGATTTATTGGACCTTTTGAGATCTTGGACCGTGTAGGAGAGGTTGCCTACAGACTAGCATTTGTCACCACAGATGGACAGGGTTCATAATGTCATTCATATGTCGATGCTACGGAAGTACGAGCCAGATCCGTCTCACATTTTGAGTTGGATTGATGTGGACATTAATGAGGATGTTTCCTACGAGGAAGGACCAATTCAGATCCTTGACACACAACAGAAGGTGTTGAGGAAAAAGACGATACCGTTGGTAAAGGTTCTTTGAAGGCATCATGGAGTTGAGGAGGCTACTTGGAAGCTCGAACAGGAGGTTCGCTCCAAGTATCCAGAGTTGTTTTCTCCCTCAGGTATGGCCTAATTTCGGGGACGAAATCTTTTAAAGTTTGGGAGAATGTAATGTTTATATATATATATTAAAGTTAAAAGTTTTTTTTCAAAAGTTGGTGGGCCCCACCAATAAATTAAAACATAACAAAGGCCGTAAGGCCATTTCGCATATCATTAGCTTCTCTATCTCTCTCTGCTGTATCATTCTCACCTCGGCAGTTTCTTCTTTTTTTTCTTTTTGCAAGTTCAAGACTTGATCTAGCTTCACTCAATTGGAATTTGATAAAACCTTGTAAAGCAAAGTCGGAGAGCACGGCGAGATCTACGCGTGGGCACCAGCAATTTCAACTTTAGTGCTCTCTAGGGAGTTCGAAATTCTAGGGTTCTTGGGATCAAATTGGGGGTTTTTATCAATTTGAGATAGGGGTGCTCTAATCCACTAATTCTTAGATTTCTTGTGAATTTCCCCTTTAAATTGACTTTAAGCATGATTAATTTTAATTTTTTGTGATTACATTTGTTAAGGTTATTTATGTTGATGGTGATAAATGTGCGTTGTGTGTTAAATGGCTTATTAGTATGATAATTTTTAACTTGTAAAGAAATATACTTAATGTTGGTTTGTTTTCATGATCTCAATTGCTATAAAAAAATAATAATAATAAAATAAAAAAATAAAAAAAGAAAATTATGATACAATTATGGAAATAAATTTGTGAATTGTATATTTAAATTGCTATCAAAATGTGGGATGAGAAAATGAATTGTGTACTTTTAGTAATTTATTAATTTATTTGAACAAGTATGTGGGAGCATTATAGTGAAATTGATGAAATAAAGCATGGAGCATTCATGCATCCATTGGGAAAGAAATAAGGGGAAAAATGTTTTAAAATAAATGAATTGTTCTTGGAAAAAAAAAAAATTTTAAGGAGTTTGCGAAAAACCGGACTCCTAGGAGGCGCCTAGTGGTCCGTGTTGTTAGTGTAGTCTAGAATGGAGTATGGTTGAGCTAACTAGGCCGGATGCCACGCCTTGGAGGTGCCTTGTGGTCGTGGATAGTTAGCCAACCCTCCATTCGTGACGCCTTGGAGGTGCCTTGGGTCGGATTACACTAACGGTTTGTTTGTTGAAACGGAATTGTTTCGGAAATGGGGAGCGACATATGCATAACATTGCACTTCATGTCATTTTAGTAAAACGGTGATTGGTTGACATTTGCTACATATTTATTGTTGTGGTTGAGAATATGTATTCCTCATGGTATGACTCCATTTCTTTTTACCTCTTCCTTATGTGAATTCACGGGGTCATAAGAAATGTATCTTAGACACTTCCTACTGAGTTTATGCTCACCCCATTATTTTTAACATTTTTCAAGATATGGAAAAGAGATGGCGAAAGACGATCTACCACGATTTTAGACGAGCATGGAGACCTATTTTATTTTTGCTATCTTTTGTATTAAAACTCTCTAATATTTTATAAATGTAATATTAACTAACTCGTAAAATTTTAGTTTAATTAGTATAATGTTGTAAGCTATGGACTTTTAATTCTAACTACAATTTATGGACTGTAATTTGATGTAACTTAAGTGGGTTCCACATTCGGATGAGATGGAGGAACGGGATTTTTGTATGTATGTAGTCATTTTAAAAATGTGATATAATATCTGTATTGTGCGTTAGAACAGGATATGTTATTTTTGAGGCCCAGTGAGGCTATTGCATCTATTTATGTATTTCAACAGGTTGTAGAGGGACTTTTTTTGCGGAGGTCATACCAAAATTTTTATAGATTTTATTATTATTATTTTGGTATCTTTTCGAGTCGTTACACTTATGCTCCATGTTTACAGACTTACAAAACCTTACAAATATGGAAAACTTGTTCTTGGATATGACTCTTCTCAATAATGACTTTCTTTCAAGCATTCAAGTGATGACTTCACTTAAAGTATTATCCCTATCACATTGTGGACTAACCGGCACCTTACCTGTTCCAGGTAAATCTCTCACACACACCACACGCATTTATATGTTCTTTCTGTGTTGCCTGGTGAAAATTTAATTCTGCCAAGTTAATTCCAATCAATTAATTCAATCTTTTTTTAGGGTCCAAGATAATGAAACCGAGGGTGAGCTGCCTCGATGCATGTCAAACTTGACATCCCTTCGGTTTTTGGACATCTCTTCCAATCATTTTACTGGGAATATTGCTTCATCTCCACTGATCCATCTTACCTCTCTTGAATACCTTGCCCTTTCACACAACTAGTTCGAGATCCCTATCTCCTTTGTGTCATTTTTCAACCACTCAATTTTAGTCATTGACAGCCTTAACAACAAATTGTTGATAGAAGCAGAGTTTCAAAGCTTGGCCCCAAGTTTTCAATTAATTGGCATCCGTTTATCTGATCATGAATTTGGCAATGTCAGTCCTACTACTGGAGGCTTTCCCAACTTCCTCTATTACCAAAAGGATCTCCAAAAAGTAGAGCTCTCTAGAATAAACTTTAAGGGGAAGTTTCCAAGTTGGTTGTTGGAGAATAATACAAGATTGGTGACACTACTTCTTCCAAATAATTCTCTCACTGAACCTCTATATTTGCCATCACATCTTAACCATGAGCTTTTGGCTTTGGATATCTCCAACAATTTCCTCAGTGGCCATATCCCAGCCAGCATTGGTAAAGCTTTTTCAGGTTTGGAATTCTTAAACATGTCTGGAAATACTTTTGGAGGTAGTATTCCCTCTTCATTAGGTGAGATGTCTTCTCTAGAGATTCTTGACTTGTCCAATAATCAACTATCTGGTGGAATACCGGAGCATTTGGCCATGGATTGCTTCTCCTTGACAATCTTAAAACTATCAAATAACAATTTGCGAGACCCAATATTACCAACACATCACAACCTAACTCGACTGCTTTCCATACAGTTGGATTATAATCACTTGACAGAAATCCCAGGTAGCTTTTCTAACTGCTCGGATTTGGAATATTTGTATATGAGTCATAACCATGTGTCGGCAGAATTCCTGGGTGGATGGGGAATATGAGTTATTTAGGTGTACTTGCCATGTCCAATAATCATCTTGAAGGTCCCATTCCAACAGAGATTTGTCATATTGGTTATCTTTATGTTTTGGAGCTTTCGGAGAACAATATTACTGGGACTATACCTTATTGCTTCCCATCATTAGAAGTTGTTCAGTTGTCTAAAAATAGGCTACAGGGAACACTGCCGCGTGCACTATACGATAGCGGTTATCTAGAGGTGTTGGATCTTAGCAATAACCACTTAACTGGCAGTATCCCAGACTGGATTGGAAGCAATTATGAGCTGCGCATCCTTCAATTAAAAAGTAATCATTTTGAAAGTAAGATTCCAATTTCTTTATGCCGCTTGTCCCAATTAAGGTTAATTGATCTTTCTGATACTGATCTTTCTGGCCACATTCCTCCTTGCCTGAATCACCTCTCATTTGAGGAAGGTTATAAAGATAATGCGTTGGTTGACTTCACGTCATATTTATGGTTTTCAACATTATTGAATGAACTAAATATGATGTCAACAGTCAAGAGAGAGGATCCATTCATGCTTCCCCCTCCACAAACACAAGCAGTGTTCAGAACAAAAGGAATTTTACTCGCTTACAAGGGACTCAATCTGGACCTCATCTCAGGAATTGATCTTTCTGCCAACAAATTATTTGGCCACAAACCATTTCAAATGGGGAACCTAAGCCGAATTCAATTTCTGAACCTATCCCACAATAGCCTAAGCGGAGCGATTCCTACAACCTTTTGGAACTTAAAGAGCATAGAGAGCTTGGATCTTTCCAACAATAACTTGAACGGGGAAATCCCTTCTCAGCTTACTGTGCTAACAAATTTGGAAGTCTTCAATGTGTCATACAACCACTTATCTGGTAGAACACCTCCGAGAATCTCTCAGTTTGGAACTTTCGGAGAAGACAGTTATGCAGGAAATCCACTTCTTTGTGGAGAGCCCCTACCAAGAAAGTGCACTGCCACCCAACCTTCAATGTCAACAAATGGCAGTGAACCTGGTCATGGTTTCATTGACATGGGCACCTTCTATGCAAGTTTTGCAGCATCTTATGTAACTGTGTTGTTAGCAATTGCAGCAGTTCTGCACATCAATCCTTACTGGAGACGGGCATGGTTCTATCTGGTTGAAGTGTGCATCACCTCTTGCTACTACTTTGTTGTGGACAATTTAATGCATTAAGGTCCTTTTCTTTTGTGGCTTTGGAAATCAAGCTAAATAAATCTCGATCTTGTAGTTGTCCCCAAACCATACCATGTTTGGTTCATTATAAATAAAGTTTGATGGTTTAGTGATTCAAAATTTCTAGTTCCATAGAAGCTGTATTCACACTATATATGTTTGGTTCACCATTTGGGTTTTGCTATTAGAATATTTCTGATGATTCTCATCTATTCATGTGAACTAAATAATTTCTATGAAAGCCAAAAGCTTTGGAGTACATAGAGGCTTGTAAATCTATCGACTTCTCTCTCATGCTATATGAGAATTTTTTTTTTTTTTTTTCTATAGGATTTATTAGGAGAAGGTGTCCATTATGTGGGGTCAGTGTTGGAAGGATTAGGGATTGGGAGGTTGGCTGTTTGAAATCAAGGAAGATACTCTCATGTACTTGTTCTTCTTGTTGCAGCCCTGTACGTCTAGGATTAGAGTTTAGTACCTGGTAAGTTAAAAAAATCTGAGCTGTTTGGAATAGACTTGTACCATTGAAAATTGTTGTGTTACTAGAAGTTGTTAATATCTTCTTCAAACTGAAATGCGATTTCTTTAAAGAGAACCAAAACCTCACGCAACAAGCAGCTTCTAGGCCTAACTATGAGACTACTGAGAGAGAACATTAATCTAGTCTCCTCAAATGATTAAAGTAGATTCCAAGTCAATGGATTCCGTGTTTAAGCCAATGCCATGTTCTGTAGAGAAATGGAGCTCAAATTTTGATAGGCGTGGATTGAAAAGCAGATATGCAATTGTAATAGACTCAGCCTTTAAATAATTTTTTTGAATCTATGATGGTAATTAATGTATCTTAAAATTAATGTTTCCTCCGTTTTTTTTTTTTTTTTTTTAACTCTGTTTTCAGAAAATGGTTTTAAAAAATAATACATCAAATTATCCGGAGTTCAATTACTCTCGTTCTTTCTTGTGGAAATTTTTTTTTAACAAATTTTAATATCAACAAAATATTAAATACAAGAAAAAATCAAACTGAAATAACATATTATGATGGGAAGAATTTTCTTGGGTTTATCCAAGTCCAAGTCTCTTTATATAATTAAAGTAGATTCCAAATCAACGTTTTCCATAATAGGTCGAGATTGTGTTAGGGCTTTGAAATATCAAGATATCCAGCACTTCTCTAGAATGGCTATAAAAATACATGCGAAAATGATTTAGGTCCATATTTATAAACTTGAACTCTTAAAGTTTTTATTTAGTAATCTTTTTCACTGTAATAAAATGCTTATTATTTAAAGTGTTGAATCTAGTGAATTTTTGTACATTATGTCGTCTTTGGTGTGCCATTACTTTTTTTTTTACATCTTTTTCTTTCTCTCTCTCTGTTTTTTCAATTGAAATCATATCTAAATTTATCCCAAAAGAAAACTGAATTTTTATCCCAAAAGATGATACTGTTTGGACCATTTACAAGAAATGGTGCGCCGTGACACATACGCTGGTAACTTTGATAATTAGGTCATACACCACACAGTAACATGGAGAAATATCCATGCATGTAATGAAAAACCAGCAACTTCCCCCACAATTCCTATTTTTTGTTGAGTCTGCCTTAGATCTATTTTCCTATTTAAACCCAAAGCCATTCAACTGGTAAGAGTGCCAAAAATTATTATTATTATTGTTATTATTATTATTATGGAGTTTACGCCAAGATTATTATTTCTGTTATTATGGTTGATGATGTTGGTTATGGAAAATGGGTGTGATGGTTGTTTGGAGCAAGAGAGAATTGCTCTGCTTCAATTTAAAGCTTCTTTCAACCTCCAAAATAGGAGTGACTATAATATAGACAATGATCCCTTCCTGGACTGGGAGGACGAAGGAATCACTGACTGTTGTGACTGGGATCGTGTTGAGTGCCACAACACCACACGTCGCGTACTCAAACTTGGGCTTCAATATATGTCCTTGACAGATTGGTCCTATCTAAACACCTCCTTGTTTCTTCCCTTCGAATCACTCACAAGTCTAGACTTGAGTGTGAACTCTTTGCATGGATGTGTTGAGAACCAAGGTATGTCATCTCTCTCCATATTCATTTGCTTTTCCATTTCCGTTCCTTCTTTTTGTTTTGAGAATGGAGGTGTTCTTTTGCAGGTTTCGAAAAACTATCCACGTTGAAAAATCTACAATTCCTTGGCCTGAATAGTAATGGATTCAATAATAGCATTCTGTCATCTCTGTATCAGCTTTCGACTCTGAAGACCCTGGATCTAAGCAACAACAAATTAGATGGCACAATTCATATTCAAGGTGAATGTAAACTAACTTTTCTTTAATCTCAATTCTACATCTAGAAGACGGAATATAATTCCTATTTATTGTAATGATTACTATTTTCCCTAACCTAGGTTTGAACAACATCAAGGAGCTATACATAAATGGAAACAAGCTGGATGGTATCATCAGCAATCAAGGTACGTATGATGAAGAAAACATAGTATTACTCAATGTTTTATGTCAATTAATTCAACACTCTTAACAACAATGAAATTGATCCTCCACTAACTTGGCATGCATGTTGACTGAGAGAGTACTACTGATCTTAATCCTTCAGAAATGGGGTTCATTTACTAAAGTTGACATTGGGCTTATAGCTCCGGTCTGTTCTTTATGGGTTTATGTCAGACGATCAACATTTCATACATATATTAGAAGCTAAAGAATATGAATGTTTGGACGATTTTTAAATTTGATGCACTCAAAAGTAGACACTTGTGTTATGATTTGTTCATTTTACAGGTCTTGAGGGAGCTCAAAATTTGAACAGCTTAGAGGTCCTTGATATGAGCTATAATGAATTCGACAATAACATCTGGTCTGCTCAAGGTAAAAGCAAAATAAAAGTTTCGAACCCCGCCATGAAAATTAAATTTTAAGCCTAACTGCTGATCAATTTAATGTTCTTCAGGGCTGTGTGAATTGAGAAGTCTTCAAGAGCTTGACCTCATGAGTAACAGATTGGAGGGTCCCTTGCCTGGTTGCTTGGCAAACTTGACGTCCCTTCGGCTTTTGGATATCTCTTCCAATCGCTTTACAGGAAATATTAACAAGTCATCTCCACTTGTGCATTTGACATCTCTTGAATACCTTGCCCTCTCAAGAAACGACTTCCAAGTCCCAATCTCGTTTTCACCATTCTTCAACCACTCAAAACTCAAGTTCATTGAAAGCCTACACAATGAATTGTTGGAAGATGAAACGAATTTTGAGACCATGGCACCCAGTTTCCAACTTACTGGAATTCGTTTATCTGACCATGCATTCGGCAATGTTAGTAGTACTACTGGAGCCTTTCCCAACTTCCTCTACAACCAGAAGAACCTCCAAGGTGTTCAACTCTCTCGAATTAACTTCAAAGGCGGTAAGTTTCCAAGTTGGTTGTTAGAGAATAATACGGGATTAGCCGTACTTCTTCTACCAGATAATTCACTCACTGGACATTTTCAATTGCCGCCCTTCCATCCTAAGACTGGGCTTCTAGCATTAGATATCTCCAACAATCACTTTCATGGCCACATTCCAGACAACATTTCTATGGTTTTTCCAAGTTTAAAATACTTAAACGTGTCTGGAAATGGCTTTGGAGGTAGCATTCCCTCTTCATTAGGTGATTTGTCTTCATTGGAAACTCTCGACTTATCCAATAATCAACTGTCTCAGGGGATACCGGAGCACTTGACCACGGGTTGCGTCTCCCTGTCATTGTTGAAACTATCGAATAACAATTTGCAAGGCCCAATATTGCCATCAAAAAATAACCTGACATTACTTAGTTTTTTGTGTCTGGACCGCAATCGCTTCACAGAGATCTCAGGTAGCTTGTCCAACTCTCCTTATTTGTTTACTTTGAATATGAGTCAGAATCATTTGTCAGGGAAGCTACCTGGGTGGATAGCAAGTGTGTTACAAAATCCAATGGTGATTGATATGTCCAATAATCATTTCGAAGGTCCAATTCCAACTGAATTTTGTCAGCTTGGTAGTCTTGATGAGGTTCTTGAGGTGTTTGACCTCTCTGGAAATAATATTACCGGGACTATTCCTTCTTGCTCCAGCCCCCCACATATAAGACATGTCCATCTCTCTAAAAATAGGCTACAAGGACCATTGCCGCACGCATTTTTTAACAGCAGTTCAACAGTGACCATAGATCTTTCCCATAATAACTTAACAGGTCGTATTCCAAGCTGGATTGGAACCCTTTCTAGTCTGAGCATTCTTCTCTTGAAAAATAATCATTTCGAAGGTGGGATTCCAATCAGTTTATGCCAGCTGTCCCAATTAAGCTTGATTGATCTCTCTTATAACTACTTTTCTGGCTACATTCCTCCTTGCTTGGCTAACATCACTTTTGAAGGAATACCTAGTAGAACTTTTGTGATAAATATTGGAATAGGTCCATTTGCCTTTTACACGTCAATTATAGAGGACATGAAAATGTTGTCAAAAACAAAGAATGACTTTTTTGAGGAGGATTCACGTGGTTTTAGCCCACAAGTTCAAGTAGCTTTCACAACAAAAGGAATGTCTCGCCCTTACAAGGGAATCAATCTTGATCTTTTCTCGGCAATTGATTTTTCCTGCAACAAGTTGACCGGCCACATCCCACAAGAAGTTGGAAATTTAGACCAAATCAGAGAGCTCAACCTGTCTCACAATGGCCTAAGTGGAACCATCCCAACGACCTTCTCAAACCTACACAAGATAGAGAGCTTAGACCTCTCCTTTAACAATTTGAGCGGAAAAATACCTTCACAGCTCACTGAGTTATACTCTCTGAACAAGCTCAATTTATCGTACAATTACTTATCCGGTAGCATACCTCAAGGTCAAAGATCTGTCCAATTTGATACATTTGATAACAGTAGCTACATGGGAAATCCATTACTTTGTGGACCACCACTTTCAACAACTTGCAACGCCATTGAGCCACCAAGAGTCGTCATGAATAGCAGTGAAGTGGATTATGGCTTCATGGACATGGAATCTTTCTATGTGAGCTTTGCAGTGTCCTATGTAACTCTGTTCTTAGGGATTGCAGCTGTTTTTTACATCAATCCCTACTGGAGAAAGGCATGGATTCATCTAGTTGAGGTGTGCGTCACCTCTTGCTACTACTTTGTTGTGGACAATTTTCGAAAAGTATTTTTTCAGAGATAATTAGACGTGCGTGTCTCAAGGTTGTTAAATGTAACCCTTTCTGTTCTTTTCCTTTTCAAAGCTGCATTGGAGTTCATAAAGAGGGAAAATCAAATGGCAAATTGAAAGATTATGAAAATCATGGTTTTCCCATATGTCTTCTTTTTTTATTATTGTTCAGGTTCGTCCTCTGTTTTATTTCTAGAAGACATGAAGAGAATGTTGGGAAACGTGCTAGTTTTAAAAACTTTTCGAGGGATTTAAATTCATAGATCTTGATTCATCACATAGAGACAAGTTTTATGCAAAAAAATAAAATAAAATATGATATATTATTCAACTAAAAGATTGAATACTTACATCAAGGTTTGAGTAAACCTCAGATCTCTCCTCTAAAGTGAATGTTCTCACTTATTGTAGATCCCTTTTGCTAGATGCATTCTCCTTGGATCTCCATCTTCTTGGTAATTGTTTTGCCTTTAGGAATCACTCATATGCCTCCATGAATGACCTTGGAAAACTAGGCTTGTGGGAGCCTCCATTAGATGAGAACATAAACCCTAATTTTCTAGAGAGAGAAAATTTATTCCTTTTTCCTTCTCATAAAAATCACCCCCTAAAATATACATAGACCATGTATATTTATAGGCAACATAAAAATAAAGAAAAGGAAACAACAAATCCTTCTCCATCTCTAATTCATATGTCTCAAATCTAATATGATTCCAATATCAAGTTGGGCTATGAGTGAGAATCCATTGGGCCTATTATTTTATTGGCTACAATGAATTAATAATTGGCCCGGTCCATGGACCCAATTCAATTAATTCATAAATTAATTTCTACTCCACTAAAAGAAATTAATTGAACTCCAATTAAATAATAAATAACCTCTAAGTCAATATTGCACTTTGACCCCTCTATGCATAATTAGTTATCGGATAAATATAGCCATCAATCCGACTCTTTAATTAATATATTTATTTTGGTACCTTTGATTATTTCTGGCTCGATCACAATAAAACATTTGTTTGACAAAAATAATAATTTAAATAAATAAATATATAATAAATCATTTTGTCTAAAAACACACGAAGGCCTTCGAATTTACTTTGTGATCAACCATAATCAATACAAAATAAATACAAGTAGCAATGATGCAAATATTGAAAATATAACCCTCTAACTATTAATTACATAACTACCCAAAGTGTCGGTCTAAGGATCCCGAAGAATCCGCCGAACAAATCAAAGTAATTATTAATTAATAAAAGAGTCTATACTTTTCTCATGCTTAAGAGTCAAATGCCATGACGGTGATAAGGAGTAATTGCATACGACGGCTCTCGCAATATATCTCAACCTAACGCGGATCCAGTTCAAGTCTTAATTAATTATGAGTCCATCCATAATTACCGACTATGAACAATTTATAATTACTATTTATATATCATGCATTGATTGTCATCACATACATATATATAAATATTTCTTGTAATTAACTGGACAGTATCAATTTCATAGTGAATTGAAACATAATACATTGAATTCACCAATTATATAAATCATAAATATTTCAGATATGTCAGGAACATATGTCAATACAATCCAGATAGGAATTCACTATGCCAGGGCATATAAATCCCAACAGCTCCCACTTGCCCTCATAGCCAATTCAAATTGCACCTAACTCCAATGTTATCCAGATGATGATCAAAATTATTGATCAATCACACCTTTGATAATGGATCAACAAAGTTGTGTTCCAATGCAATGTTTTAACTACAAGTGCATTTTCTTGCCGGACAATATCATGTCGAACATGATACTTCCTCTCAGTGTATCTTGTTCCTCTATGGAACCTTGTGTCATTGGTTTGGACTACTTCTGCACTATTGTCACAATATATCTCGATGGCAGGCTAGTATGCTCCACAACCTCTAAATCAGTGAGATCAAACCAATAGGCTTATATTGCCACCTTTAAGGCTGCAATATGTTCCACCTGCAGGTTTGAGTCAACAGTTGAAATCTGTTTGACAATCTACCAACTGATTTCCCTTCCATTAAGTGAACATACACTAAGTCATGAACCTCATAGTATCTACTTCTGATTGAAAATCAGAACTAGCATACCTGACTAGGACCATATCATCACATCCATAAATGGGTATGATATCATTGATTCTCCTTAGGTACTTAATGATATTTTTCACAATAGACCAGTTGTCAAGTCCAGTATTGGACTGATCTCTACTGACTATCCCTACCATGTAGCGGATGTCCTGTTTGGTATAGACCATGGCGTATATGAGACTCTCATATGCCGAAACATATTGTTCCAGTCTCATTTGCTCAATCTCCTCTGCTAGTCTTGAAAAACTACTTACTAGAGAGAGCGATCCATATCAATAAAGCAAGAACTCATTCTTTGAGTTATGCATACCAAACCTGGTCAAAACTTTTAACCTGATCTTGCAAAAGCTTGATCTTAGGAATATAGCTTACATCTTGAAATTCCTTCATTTAAAAGTAATTGAACAACTACCTTTTAATTGATGACAAAACTTCCACGTCATTATAAATGAGTAGGATGTCATCAATATATAGAATTAAGAAAAATAATGACATTCCCTTGTACACTCATGATTTATTCACTAAGAAATCTTCTGGTATCTTTTTGTAGATTAACTTGCCTTCCATAGGAATCACCCTACTAGAAAGTTCTACAAGATCCCAGAATTTATTAGAATACATAGATTCCAACTCTGATTTCATAGTAACTCACCAAAACGATCTGTATCCACATCGGTTCACGCTTCCGTGTAGCTTACTGGGTCCAACTCATGTTTAACAGGGATGTCCATAATGGTCTCACCTAAAAACATGATTCTGTCGAATTGGATGATAATCCTCCCACTACATCAATGTACCGATGCAAGAATCTGTGTTGTAGATGATGCTAACGCATCAATAGGGAATTCATATATTATTCTCAATCTCTATAATAAGTGTGTTCACTTGTGGTACATCTGGTACTCTTACCATATTCTCTAACACTATGCTACTAGGTATGTGATTCATAATATGATTCTCCTATAGATAAACAGTGAGTGTAAACAATCAACTTTTATCATTGAGATCATAAAATAATCAGTCCTAGTGACATTTTAGAGTAGCTATCAAATCTATCATGCATATGATCTGTTTCCAACTTAGTTGTCCATATCAAGCGCACATGTGCAAGACTACCCCATATGTGCATGTGATTCAAACTAAGATTTAGTCAAAAACACAGCTCAACGGTATCCTTGAGACAGACTAAGATGGAATGCAGTTCATAATGCGCATCGATGTTATTAACGCTAAACTCTTAAATGAAAGAGATAATGTAGCATAGCTGATCATAGATCTAACCATGTTAAGTGGAATTCTGTTATTCCTATTTGACACCTAAATTAATTTAGCGTCAATTGCGGAAAACTGGTACACAACACCCTCATTGACCATATAGTCTTTGCACTATCCCAAGAAATACTCAAATACTCGATCAGATCGAAGTGTCTTGATAAGTTTACCTAATTTGTGCTCCACATCAGTCTTGACCCTTTCGGAATATACCAAAAGTATAAGACTTGTGTCGCAACAGGTAAATTTATCCAAAACGTGAGTAATCTTGATTGGATGTTCATAAGACTACACGTGTACGTGTGTACCGACTCCAATTGTTCTTTATGTCTATTTCATTTGGCTGATTAAGCCCTTAGAGTTATCTATCCTTCAAAACAAGATTCACAAGTTTGGTTTAGGCTCCTCTGCCTCACTAGGTAATAAACCTTCTTTAACCAATCTTTAAATCTCATTTTGATTGATTATAACCCAAAAATAGACACCAAAAATACAATGAGTCAGGAATAACAAATTTTCTCTTAACATTTAATCTAGAAGATGCAACATTAGTTTCTACATCCTGCAAATCTTAAGAGCTTGTGATTATAGTATATTAACCATCTTTCAATGCACTAGAAGCAATCGCATATCTATTCAATTTTATAAAACCAGTTTTACAAAATAACGATCTAGTTTTTATAAACCACAAGTGAAACAAAAATTAGATAGCGTCTAACCACTGTGCATAAAGATGATTCTCTAATACTAATATCCTCATACTCTCTAATTTCAGATGTAATACTCCCACTGACTTAACTACAACCTTGGCATCAGGTCAAAAGATAAATATATACCCATATCATCAAGGCTTCTGGATTCCTGAAATCCTTACAATAAATTGCAAACATGTTTAGTGGCTCCAGAATCTATCCATCAGGAATCAATAGATACAACCACATAACATGGCTCAATGATTAAATATATATTTTCCTATGCCACGTCATTGCTTAGACAGTTTGTCCTTTAGTGTCTTAGTTAACGGCAAAAGAAACAGTTTCATTCACCCTCAACATACACTGCCTTATTCCCTTTAACCTTTTAGATACCTATGTTTTGTGCTAGCCTAGTCCTATTATCATCCTTCTTCTTTGCTTTGCCCATCCACTTGGGCCTAGAAGAAGATGGTATAGACTAGGTTAGATTGATAGGAACGCCCATACTCTTGATTATCCCTTCTTCTGTTACCAATTCTATAAGAATATCAGCGAGTGTGAACTCAAACTGATTCCTTATTTAGTTCACTCTAACAGAGTCGAATGAGTTTGGTAACAAGGCAATAATCATGTCAACTTGAAACTTACCACCCAAGTCAGCCTTATTGATCTCCAGCTAATTTTTAAATAATAAACAATCATTTTCCAAAATTTGATTCCAAACTGGAGTTCATCAGGCTATCTTGATGGTATTTAAATTTGACACAGTACTTAGGCATATGCTCTATCTAATCTCACCAAAATATCTCATTGACATTTAATATGATGCTTGAAGAAAATAAAATAATACAAATGTTAGCTTTGGAGTATATTCGAGCTAAACTCTAGAATATTGCACCAAGTCATATCATTTGCCTTA